ATTGTATCCGCCTACGCGAAGTCTGTTGTGATTGGTTGTTAAATCTATCCTTGTTCTTATTTTTCTCACGACCAATATTGGAGACGTAAACATTGACGTAAATTGCTGTCTACCGATTTGGCTAACAGTCAGCTCTCACCACAATATAAGTGATTAGAAGTGGTCACATGATACTTGATGTGAGTATATTTACTTTGCTGAACTCAAATATATCACCAGTTGTAGTGTCTTTCAACTTTTCATCAGAAAACAATCGGTTAAAGATAACTTGCAAATGAACAGTACTTAGTCTTTTAGAGCCCATAAAAATTATTTATTTATATATTGCTATTCCCTTGGCTTCCGAGTGGAACGTAGGGCTTCGGTAGTCCATCACCATTTCACTCTACTCTCTGCAGTCCTTTTTAAATGGCTTTACGGACGTCAATAAGCTTTCATATCCTCCTTGAACTATTTTCTCTATACCATCCTCGGAGACATCCCAAACTCATCATTTCGCACTTCAGCTCCACTAGAGAGTCTGCTCGGCATATGTTGTTATTCAACGGTCTCTTCAGCCTGTGTCCAACCTATCTCCATTTCCTTCGATATATATTGATTGGTGTTTTCCACTGTTAGTTAAGTATCTTCATCACCTCCATCTTCTCTATGTTCACTTGAAGTCTCCACCGCCTCTTTTGCCAACTTGTTAGTTTTCGCCAGTAGACCTTCACGTTTGTATTACATTCAACATAAGTAATCCACGAAGTTCAGACCTTTCAGCGTCTTCTCATCAGTCTAAAGCATATTCGTCTTCCCTCCCCAAACCACTGTCTACTGCATGATCCCGGCCACCACAGTCAGGAATATCATCGGTGGTGCTTCTCGGCTCTGTGAGCGAAGATCATGTGTAGTATTTATTCTTTGCTGTGCGTGTGTGTACTTTATATCCTATTAACATTAAAAACAATGAAGTACACAAAAGGACACCCACCAATTGTTTTTTAACACATCGAGGAGACTGTAAATGAAAAAGAATCGGATGAAGTATATATTAAGGTGAAACAACAGGGGTAAGTTTGATTTCTACGCCGGTGCTGCATACTCGTTATATTTTACCGCATTTCAACATTTAACGACAAGTGATTTTAGTTTAGTTACCGAGATATCATAGGAAGTAATATGAAATCTTTCATACAAATATTGATAGTAATCAACACGTTTTATATAATATCCAACAGTTAAAAAGATGTGCGTAAGTGTGTACATGTGTGTCAAACTTGTGAATAACAATAAGAAAAGGTAGTTTAGTGTACGAAATCAGACCTGTCGATGACAATATACTATTCTACTCTTAGTGTTAAGCCTCGTAAGACAGATAAATAGATAAATGATCGATTTAATCAATTTGAATTGTACATTATTGAAAGTAAACGTTGAAGAACCAATATTATCACTAACCAAGTGTGTACAATGAAACTTATTCTGTAGTGAATCAACAAGTCTTTGAAAACAGTCAATTGTAATAAAAGTGATTATTTCTAGTGAAGACTAATTTAATGCAAATATATAAAGGAAATTCAAACAACAATTCACTATAGATAGAATAATAAATCGATCTTTAAAATCTTTTCTGCAGTAATCCATTCTTAGGTGAGTGGAATAAACAATATTATCTATTATTGGTTGGATCGGTCAAGGATGGATTGATTTCAGCCTTCTTCTTGAAATGCTTGCATATGGCCATGAGATCATATTATATTATTATTGTCCCCTTGGATTCCTTGTAGGACATAAGGCTTCAACTGCACGTCTACACTTGCCACTTCTGTCTTCTGCTGTACTTTTCACCTGCACCCATGTTAGTCCATACTGTTTCAACTCCTCTTCACACGATCTCCTCCATGTCACCGTTGTACTGACGTCCCACTCATCGCTTCCCTTTCGGCCTGGTTCCACTCGAGCAATGGCCTGACGCGCGCGCGATATCACCCAGCGGCCTTCTCAGCCACGAGTGTCCAATTCATCTCCACTTTCTCCTGCATATTTGTTGGGCGATTGCTTCTTGTTTTGTTTTCTTGGTTCTCATAGTTTCTTGTTGGTGATTCTTTTCGACCTGGTTATCTGATCTTCAGTAAAAAGCAAAGACAGTTGTTGATAAATATCTGAAACAGACTGTTGGAAATATTCTTTGTGACCCGCCCGCCAAGTTTCTGATCCGTATAGAACAGCTGACTGACTTGACGTTGTTTGTATTGAAAATCCGAGCGAATTTTGTTGTTGATCCTGGCTGAGTGATGAAGATTTCCAGATTGGTTTCAGGTTGATGAATATGTTTCTCGCCATCCCGATTCTCGCTCGATTTGACATTCTCGTCCGTTCCGACTTCCTGTGTTGAGACAATGCTCCCTAGATAAGTGAATGAAGTAACCTCTTTCAAATCCCTTCCGTTGATGGTGATTGGCGCCGGATGTTGCTGCTGTTGTCGTTGTTGTTGGTTGGTTATTTTCACAACTTCCGTCCTGTCTATGTTCACTTGGAGTCCTGTCTTCGCCGACTGCTTCTTCGACCAGTTTGTCGGTTTTCGCTTGTAAGTCTTCCATTTTGTGCGACATCAAACATAAATCATCCACGCGCGAAATCCAGGTCTTCTAGATTCTTCACATCGGTCCAGGATACCCCTGTCTTCTCGTTTCCCACTGTCTGACGCATAATCCAGTCCACCACAATTAGGAAACTAGTCCTATGCACTGCCTTCATGCTAATGGGGGTATTCTTTACAAAAGTCAAAGGCTGAATGTAAACATCTGGCGCCACTACCCTATACTGAAATATTTTGCATTATCGGTGTTTATCTTCCTTTCTACTTAGTATTTTTATTTGCACTTTTTTTGTTATTTTTTGTTTCTTTTTGGTTTTTGTTGTTTTTTATGTTTATTTTTTTGTAATACTCCTTTTAAATGTACGATGAAATTAGATGCAATATTGTAGATATGTGCTGAAAATTCCACACTGTACCACAAGTACTGTTTCTGGAATAAAAGCGAAATTATTATTATTATTATTATTACTACAATTGGAATGATCTACCTAGGGAAACTGGAAAACTCTGATTATTCCTTTACGTTCCCAGTTGAACATAGGACTTCATGCTAGAGGCTTGAAGTATTGGCAGCAGTGGAGTTTATTTTTACGAGATGGGTTTGAAAGCCTCATATCTGACCTTCCATTTTACCAGTCTTATAACTGGTTTAGAGAGGTAAAGGAGTGCGTCAACCGGGTATCGATCCCCGGACCATATGCGTGCCAACGTCGCATGATTCCAAACCTATATAGTGTACATGACCTCCAGAATCCAAAAAGATCAAATAACATGTGAACTTGTTTTGATCACCTGCAACCATTAGAACGCAGCGCTTCATACTGTTGTGGGGCTGACTTGTGAATCAAGCTTCAAGTGAACAGCTTAAGGAGCGGCGCCTCAAGATGACCATCTGTCTAGGTCTAGCCATCCGGAATGTACCCTAGCTGTATCACAAACTAAGAGATTGTATGTGACATATCTCTCCCTGTCCATAATGTGCCAAGTTTTTCTTTTCATAATAATAATAATAGTATTGTGGTCAGAGCTCGCTGTTAGCCAAAATTGGTGGACAGTAATTTCCATCAATGTTTATGTCTCAAATATTATTGGTCGTGAGAAAAATAAGAACAATGGCTCTGCGTAGGCGGATACGGCTAACATTCAAGACACTCAAGAAACAGCCACAAAGAGATGCAAGGTTAACTTTCAGTGAGAAACAACCAATCAGAAGACTGTTTGTCTATTAACAATAATCTATAATATGTACATGAAAATCTATAAATATGTGTTGATTTCCTTAATAAAGTATCTGTTCCCTGGCTCTTGTCTTCTGTTGTTACATCTGGTGTCACTGCCTCCCGATAAATGGAAAGCCTATGCCCTGCAGTTTTCGATGGAGACATAAGAATCTTCGAGCAGGACTTCGAGGCTCCTGCGCAGTTGAGTGGCGCTCAACATCTGTCAGCGATGAGGCTGTTACTTGGGACGCTGCTGGGAGGTCGGGAGAAAGCAGCATATGAAAGTGTGAGGCGAAATACCAACGAATGTACAACAGGGTCAGGAAAACAGTTTCCAAAGTGGGAAGGACGACATGTGGTCACTTTGAGATGGGATTACGCAGACACAATCGCAATGGCAAACAAAGAGAAACAGGTGAACACCAGAGAGCGCCGAGATTTCAGACAGCAAGACAAACGAACAAAGCCATTAGAACCGAGCACACCGAACCAACTTGAGTCGCAAGTCTTTGACGGGGGGACGAGTGTGGTGAGAGCTGGTTGCTAGCCAAATCGGTGGACTGTAATTTACGTCAATGTTTATGTCTCAAATATTATTGGTCGTGAGAAAAATGAGAACAAAGACTTTGCGTAGGCGGATACGGTTAGCACATAGATGATCTGACATCCAGGAAACAGCCACAAAGAGATGAAAGATTAACTTTCAGTGAGAAACAACCAATCGGAAGACTGTTTTTCTGCTAACAATAATCCATCATAATGCACATGAAAATCTATAAATATGTGTTGATTTCTTTAATAAACGATCTGTTTCCTGGCCTTTGTGTTCTGTTGTCAAAATACAACAATGATTGTAACTATAATGTATTGCGCCAGTCAGCGTTCAGAACTACCCGTTGTTTATCAAGCAGAATGGTGCCTTTTCCATATTTCTATATAATCAATAACATAGTTGAGGTGACATAAACAGACAAATATTCTTTAAAAAAATAATGAAACTTTATGAATTTTGGCAGATATGTAAACACATCAACACGTGCATAACTACTGTGTACTTCCGTAAAGTAAACAAACCAACTTGAAATATGCATAAAATTATAGTGAGTAATCTGTTTCCACTATAGGCACACATATATACATTAAAATGATATCTATAATAAAAAAAAGAATAAAACCTTGAAACATCATATTTAACTAACCTGTAACGAGGTAAGTTTATAGTTTTGAAATAAATAGTCTTGCCAATTAGAAGTAAAAGAATCACATAGAATATAACCGAAGATTAGTACATAACCACTAAGTGATAATAGAAATCTAGTATCTGTCTCCTTTTTTGAATGATAATCTTGTTCAGGATCAGTGTAGAAAAACATAATCATGCCTAAGCATATAATGCCTGAAAATAAAAAGAAATGATTGAATAAATGAACTTACAAACATCAAAACATGATAATTAAAACAAAACAATAGTAATAATAATGTAACAGCAGAACACAAAGGCCAGGAAACAGATCGTTTATTAAAGAAATCAACACATATTTATAGATTTTCATGTGCATTATGATGGATTATTGTTAGCAGAAAAACAGTCTTCCGATTGGTTGTTTCTCACTGAAAGTTAATCTTTCATCTCTTTGTGGCTGTTTCCTGGATGTCAGATCATCTATGTGCTAACCGTATCCGCCTACGCAAAGTCTTTGTTCTCATTTTTCTCACGACCAATAATATTTGAGACATAAACATTGACGTAAATTACAGTCCACCGATTTGGCTAGCAACCAGCTCTCACCACACTCGTCCCCCCGTCAAAGACTTGCGACTCAAGTTGGTTCGGTGTGCTCGGTTCTAATGGCTTTGTTCGTTTGTCTTGCTGTCTGAAATCTCGGCGCTCTCTGGTGTTCACCTGTTTCTCTTTGTTTGCCATTGCGATTGTGTCTGCGTAATCCCATCTCAAAGTGACCACATGTCGTCCTTCCCACTTTGGAAACTGTTTTCCTGACCCTGTTGTACATTCGTTGGTATTTCGCCTCACACTTTCATATGCTGCTTTCTCCCGACCTCCCAGCAGCGTCCCAAGTAACAGCCTCATCGCTGACAGATGTTGAGCGCCACTCAACTGCGCAGGAGCCTCGAAGTCCTGCTCGAAGATTCTTATGTCTCCATCGAAAACTGCAGGGCATAGGCTTTCCATTTATCGGGAGGCAGTGACACCAGATGTAACAACAGAAGACAAGAGCCAGGGAACAGATACTTTATTAAGGAAATCAACACATATTTATAGATTTTCATGTACATATTATAGATTATTGTTAATAGACAAACAGTCTTCTGATTGGTTGTTTCTCACTGAAAGTTAACCTTGCATCTCTTTGTGGCTGTTTCTTGAGTGTCTTGAATGTTAGCCGTATCCGCCTACGCAGAGCCATTGTTCTTATTTTTCTCACGACCAATAATATTTGAGACATAAACATTGATGGAAATTATTGTCCACTAATTTGGTTAGCAGCCGGCTTTCACCACAATAATAACAACATTAATTTAGACGACACTATGCTAACACACGTAAGTCCAGAATTTTCAGCCTATTTAAACTGAAAAATATCTACTCTTCATACAGGATCTTAAAAGACAAAGAATAGTATTCAGCAGTGTGACAACAGAAGACAAGGGCCAGACAGCAGATCGTTTATTGAAAAATTCAAGAGATACTTATGGATTTTTTAGTAGATTATTGACACTGGAGAAGCAAAGTTTCCTGATCGGTTGTTTTCTTGCTGATGGTTGGTCTGTACTGCTTGTGAGTGTTTCTCAGAAAGTTAAGCCATACATTTGCGAATCGTATTGGCAGACGTTAAGTCTGCTGTGATTGATCGGTGAGTTCCTCAAGGTTGAGCTTTGTTATTGTTTTACTTATGGTCCCGATTCGGGACGTAACAGTGACGTAAATTGTTGTCAACAATTTTGGTTAGCAGCCAGTTGTCACCACAGCAGTACATCGAGTGATGCTGTGTAATTCTAATAAATAATAATAATAATTTTTCCTTCACGTTCCCAGTGGAACATAGGGCTCCAAGCCAGTGGCTTGAAGTTTCTGTAGCAGTGTTTAATTTTTACAAGATGGGGTTGCTAGCCTCATGCGCAACCTTTCCTCTTTACCAGCATTATTTCTGGCTCAGTGAGGTAAAGGAGTGCGCCGGCCGGGAGTAATTCTATCTAAGGCTATATCCAGTCTACTAGGATATTTTTTCCTCATCTCATCTGAGAAGTGCTCTGCATAAAGACTGACAGCAAGTTGAAGATATGCGCAAGTTTATGTAGTGATCCAAAAAGTAATAACAATAATTAGATGATGGAAACAATGGGAAATGGAGAAGAATTCATGTATTATCCTGGATGAAAGTTTTGGTAGCCTAGTAATTTAATCAGACTGAGACTGTGGTACACTAGCATTTGTGAATAAAACGGAAAACGCAAAACAGAGTTTTATTCTGATAATAAGGTTAACAGTTGCTTATAATACGTTTCATATATGTTACATTTATCGGTAATGGAACTTTGTTCATTCAATTGCATGTATCAAATTCATAGAGCAAAACAAGTTTAAGATTTATGATAGTAACAATATCAACGGAAAAATCAAAAAAGAAAATAACAGTATAGCCACTAATTCCAAGTTAATTTGTTTATTAAATATATTTTTACGAGTTGATCATGGATTGATATCAGTTAGAGAACCATTGAAAACCAGGGAGTACTGGACAGATGTTGTTTCATCCTAGTTTGGGAATCATCATCAGTACTGGGATTCGAACCCAGGACCTTCCGGTTACAAGGCAAGGTCGTATACCATTTAGCCACTGGGACCCTATTCAATGGCTCATGAATTATAACTTCTACCGGTTCATGACTTAGCGCGATCCTAGTTTAGTTATAAACCTTACAAACCAAACTATAGAAAATTCATCTGATGCTCGCTAATTACTTGCTACAGGTTGAAGTTTCCTGGAGTTCTAGTGAGAAGTCGTGACGAGTGAGGTCCAATTAGATGTCACGTGTGACCCCAACGACAATGGTTTGGGTCGCGCCAAATCACGAATTGGTAAAGTTAGAATTCATGAGCCATTGAATCGGGTCCCAACGGCTGAATCGTATACGAGCTTGCCTTGTAACCTGAAGGTCCTGGGTTCGAACCCTGGTGGTGGGTGCATACTGTCGGTGATTCCCAAACTAGGATGAAACAGCAGCTGTCCAGTACTCCCTGGTTTTCAATGGTTCTCTAACTGATATCAATCCGTGATCAACTTGTAAAAACATAACTAACCCTTACAAACCAAACTAAAGATTAGTAAATATATCACACAAGGTGAAACAGTATTATTCACTGGATTACACTGTAAACAAAATTTACTTTACATAGTCATATCTGAAACACAAACACGAGAGAGCCAGGCAGGCTTTAGACCAGGAAGAGGGTGTATTGATCATATCTTCACCCTCCGACAGATTCTAGAACATAGGCATTCTTACCGGCGCCCAACAATCACTATATTCCTTGACCTAAAGGCGGCATTCGGTTCTATCGACCGAGAGGTTCTCTGGAGATGCTTGGCTGTAAAGGGAATTCCAAGAAAATATATTGCACTGATTAAGGCACTCTACTCGTACTCATACAGCCAGGTGAGGGCTTATGGCGAGTTGTCATCTGAACTGGTGACGACTAGTGGTGTCCGTCAAGGATGCCCATTATCCCCTTTTCTATTCAACTTCATCATAGATGTACTAATGGACTTAATCCTAAGTGACTTCAGCGACTCAGGGATTGACTTGCTACCAGAGAATAATCTCGTTGACTAAGAATATGCAGACGATATAGTCCTTCTAGGCGAGGACGCTGACAAAATAAAGCAGAGTCTTCTGAACACCTTGAGCTGCAATCTACGAATGTTTGGCATGCGATTCGCTCCCGCCAAATGCAAGATGATGTTACAGGACTGGACTACATCGACGCCTAGTATAAAAATAGGAAGTGAAGTGGTAGAGCACGTTGACCGCTTCACTTATTTGGGAAGTACCATCAGCCAACGCCAGCGGGTTGATCTCTGACGAAATCTTGGCACGGATGCAGAAAGCTAGTTTTGCATATGCCAGCTTACGCCATCTCTGACGTAGACGAGATATTGGACTATCGACCAAAGGGCGGGTGTACTGCTCATCAGTCCGCTCCATCCTCCTTTATGGCTGTGAGACCTGGCCATTGAGAGTGGAAGATATGAAAAGATTAGCTGTCTTTGATCATAGGTGCCTGCGTTCTATCTCCCGTGTGAAGTGGCATAATAAGGTGAGCAATATTGAGGTGAGGCATCGGTCGAGTTCTAGGTAAGGAGGGGAAATCAATCGACGAAGTCGTGAAGCTACAAAGACTGAGACATGTGTTACGCATGCCTAGCCTAGTCATCGCCTTCCTCGACGAGCAATGTTAGCGGATATAGGGTCAGGCTGGAAAAAAGCTAGCGGCGGTCAAACAAAAACTTGGCACCAGTCAATGAAATCCACAACAGTTGGTCTAAGCCACGTAGGAAGGTACAGACTCCCTGGTTAGGGTCCTCGGGACGGTAAAAACCAATGATTGGAAACGATTGGTGATATGGCTCAAAATCGTTCTCAATGGCTGGTGCAGATGCATCCACTCCCTGTGACTTATGATTTCCAATTAAACTATGTTGTTCTTCGTTACTACTATTCGTTTGCCTCACACCTCTGTTTACTGTCTCTATTATGCCTTTCTTGTACTTTCTTCTCTTACTTTGTGTGCTACATGAAGTATGGCGACTTGAACTGCCGCACATATGTGCAAAGTTCTATGTCGTAAACAGACAGACAGAGACATAGTCATATCTCAAATGAGATGACATAACTTTGAAGTTCAGTTTTTATGGTTGGAAAATAAGACCTAGTGGTATCCATGATATGATTTGAAATCAAGTGGACAATGCACAAATGTTTTCATAACTTTTACACCACTAAATACCAAATACCTTTCTACTATATTATCTACGGTTTCCAAACCATTCTTTTTTTTGGACCCTTTTCTTATTTATAATCTGTCTATTTGAAGTGTAGCGTTGTGAACTACTTCAAGACTTTAGGTTCTGAGGTCCGGTAGAGTGTGTTTGGACACACCGACGGTCACCTTTCATCGACTGTGACAATCTTAGAACACTGACTTCGGTGGATTGGACATGTGTTGCGAATGTCATCCGAGACACTCTCGAACCGCCGGCTGTTCGCTAGGCCTGGGGCAAGATAGGAAATGTGCAGGGGAGGGGCAGCCTATAACACATATCATGGAATTAAGAATTACTGCGTCAACTCAGCATCTGCTCATACACCAAGACTTCTTGAGTGGGGTCCAAAAGATAATTTGAGCCCGTAACTCGAGACATTATCATATATAACCAGGAATCATATTCAATGGCCAGAATGCTGCAATTCTCTTCTTTCTTCCACTTCAGAAGGTAACATGACGTGATACATGATCTCGACGAGAATGCTTACTTGCTTTACGAATGACCTCCCTCATCCATTATATCCCTATTTCCCTCACATACTGTTTTACCACTTTTGTGCGGCACATCTATTGTCCATTATGTACCAGTTCTGTGTATTTAACAGTAGTAATACTGGTGAAAATAAAGACCTCACATGTACTTGCTCTCAACTCATGGCATTAAATTTGAAATGACTTCAATGGGAACTTTATTTGTTCTTGAAAACCTTTTGATTACCCCAATAAAGTTTAAAGATCAAATAAGCCATGAATGACACAAGTCAATAATATAAACCCTTAAATATATCAATTAAAAGACAGATACTTACCAGCTGTAAGGTATTCACTTCCCTTATACACCCTCCTCTGAATGAATTTCCCCATAAACATAACAGGTAAAACTTTACATGCCTTAAGAATTACCTGGAATATAAATAAAAGAATATATGTAGTGTAAAAGAAATTTAGTCTGAAAAAGGACCGTATTATATTCATCAAATTTGAAAACAATTTCCATTCGTCCTAAATAATATACAATAGAAGGATCCTCTTAACAAAACGATAAACATTGAATAAATGAGTATACTCATTTACACTACTCATGCGATATAATCATTTCAAGGGTAAACGATGACAAAACATAGAGCCTTCTGGAAACATGAGCAAACTTCCTAGTGTGGTTATCATATTCTTACAGGAATGGTTTGCACCGAGTCTGAATTTATAGACAGCCAGTGAAATACCGGAATGTACTGAAGAATTTTATTGTATCAGAAGCCTGGATTTCACTACTAAATCAAAAGCCTTATACTGCATCTGTAAGCTCATATCAATTTCGATTCACACATGATAATTAGTTACCCAATTAAATAATGTATACCGTGCAGTTGTTCCCCACATCCCACCTTAGGGATATGAGAAGTGGCTATCCGAAGTTGAAGATGAAAAGAGATTAGATATTTCCATTACACGTAGCTTAGTTAGGTTGCTCGGATTATTTTATCTCGCATATATTTTACGAATCACAGTCTACCACCTTCCTCGATGTGAAATACTCTCTGAAGTAGGGTTAGTTTGGACAGCGTTCGATGTGGTTAGACCGAAAAATGGCACCTAACTGTGAAGTTGTTCACTTCTGATCTGGATCAGGTAAGGAAGCAACAATATTATGATTTCATACATTTATTCCCCTTACTGAATTTGAACAAAGCAAGAACTACAGTTTTAGCAGAATAATATGGTACCATCATTTATTTCGTTGGCTTCTCATCATTTGCTTACAGCACAATTCCATTAATTGTGGAATTTTCTGTCAACTGACAACATGTAAAATTTGCAAGCTGTAAGCAGCTGATGAGAAGCCAACGAAATAAATGATGGCACCATATTATTCTGCTAAAACTGTAGTTCTTGCTTTGTTCAAACATATTATGATTTTGTTTTCTGTGTGAAGTGTGGCAAAACGGGTATACTTTTGTTTAAATTTCTTCAGTAATTTCTCATTCATTCACAGTTCTGACCAGAATTCGATAATAAATATCTATGACTCACCACTCAAGGTATATGCAACAAGAGAAGCTACACAAGTCCCAATTAAAGTTCTACTTTATACATGTGGATGCCTCGAAAGTAATTTACTAAAACAAAAGATGACATGGGAAGTATCTTTTATCTAGACAAGGTTTCAAAGACAAGTGACAACGATGACAACAGACAAAAAAGTCCACTTTTTAAGAACATTAGACTTACACATTTTGAGATAAACAAGGTCACTCATGTAAAATTCAAGTGGTTTGAAAGCCTGATTATTTGAAATTCTGCTATCCATGCAATCTTAACTACTTGATAGCTTATTTTACTGGTTCTTCGATTATTTGGCAATACTAATTTATTTGTATTATGTGCAGTAAACAGACGTTCGACGAATAATGATCCATTAAATCGCGAAAATAAGCATTTTAACATCAGTAATACCTTTTATCATGAAGCATGCACATTATGAGGGAATCTTAGCATCTTAACATTACAGCATTTATCACTACTTATTTGATATTTAATACTCGGGCAGTCACCTCTCTTTCTCAACTTCATCGACTTTGAAAAGGCCTTCAGCAGACAGCGTCGATCGAGTGGTCATTTGGCAACTACTTCGCTACTACGGGGTCCCATCGACAATTATACATCTCATCCAACAGTTATACGACAATGCTGCATGACAAGTAATCCACAACGGGAAACTTACGGAAGCCTTCGAAGTGAGGACAAGAGTAAAACAAGACTGCCTCCTATTGCCAATGATTTTCCTGATTGCAGTAGATTGGATAATGCGACAAACAACAGCAATGAGGAAACAGGCATAAAATGGACTCACACAAAACAATTGGAGGATCTGGATTTCGCCGATGACATATGTATGTCTGATTTCCCACAAACTGGAAGATATGCAAGTGAAAAGTAACAAGTTGGTAAAAGAACCATCAAAGATAAGAAGGACTTCAGGTGAACATAGAGAAAACAAAGGTGATCAAGATTCTCGGCCAACAGCAACAGCAACAACAACAAACAACAATCAGCCAGCATAAATGGGAGAAATCTGAAAGAAGCAACCTCCTTTACCTACCTACCTAGGAAGCATCGTTTCAACTACAGGCCAACGGAACTGACGAGGATATCAAAGCCAGAATCGGAAAAGCAAAACAAGCTTTCATTACTCTTAAGTCTGTATGGAAGTCAACAGCACTCAGCATCAAAAATAAGATATAGGATTTTCAACTCCAATGTGAAGTCAGTGCTACTTTCTATGCCGTCCAGAGACTTGGCGCGTCATAAACAGCATCTCAAACAAACTACAGACCTTCATTAACAGTTGTCTTCGCTCAATACTACTCAAGATCAGATGGCCGGAAAAGATCAGCAACAGGGATCTCTGGTAAGGATCGAACCAACCAGGAACCGATTGTGAAACAAATAGGCAGGAAGAAATGGAGATGGATTGGCCATACTCTGAGGAGACCATCAAGTGACATCACTAGACGAGCCATTGCTCGAGTGGAACCCGAAAGGGGAGCGGTGAGTTGGTCGTCTAAGGGTGACTTGGAGGAGGTCATTCGAGGAGGAGATGAGAGCATGTGGGCAGACTTGGAGCGGGGTGAAAAAGTTGGCAGAAAACAGAAGGCAATGGAGATGCGCAGCTGAAGCCCTATGTTCCTCTAGGAATTAAAGGACACAATAATAATAATAATACTCGGATGACGATTGCAGTTCTATGAACATCTTGACAACGAGTATTTCCACACTGAAAAGACCTGTGTAAGCTTTCCATTTCTATTAAGAACTAAAAGGGTAGTTATTTCCATAAATCTTATGTTTCAGTAAGAAAAAGAAAGATACAGAGCTGAGATCATAACCACTGTAAATTGATTTTACGTAAGTTATATGTAGATCTAATTTTCTACATGTCTGTTTGTATTTCTCTCACCCCACTTGTGTCCTTTGAAATCCTAATGGCTGTTGACTGTTTTAATTTATCAATGTGATTAATGTCTCAGGGTCATTCCAAGTATATATATAGGAAAGCGCTGTCAATCATTTTCGTTGCTGATACAAAACAGTGAATGCTCTCTGCACCAACAGTTAGTCTTCTCTTCTTGTTTTTTTTGCGTCGAGTTTTCGGTAGTATCTTGTTGTGTTGAGGTAGTCGTTGTTGTTGCTAATATTGATTAGAACAGCAGGCTCGTGAATCGACTAGGTATGAAATTCGTTAACGCAACTACAAGTGTATTAACGGTCATATTAAAATTGGCTATGGGTACATATCTGGTAAGATATACCTAGGGTCGAACATAAGATTAATTAACATAGAGAGAGAGAGAGACTATGAAGGAATGACAGTATTATTGGTATATTACAATAAATTTGGGTCATAGGTAAAGAAATAACCTTATCTCACTAATTCATAGAAATAGGTGTTTAAACGGGTGGTTCTACTTTGAATATAAATAATTTGCATATCAATATTATGCATTCAGGTCAAATGGAAAAATAAGTACCCAGTCTTAAATACTATTCTTTTGATTAACCCATTAGCTTCATTTATTGTTGAACGAATTACTAATATTTATGTGAAAGATGAATGAATGCATAGGTCTACATCAGCGTAAGCTGTATTGGTATATTCGACCAATATTCACCAACCACTGCTTTTTAGGATCTAAAGAGGACTAACCAAGCAACGTACACTTTTATTTATGACTCGGACCAAAAAACAAATTTTGCTGATTGGTCACATTATTATGATCTGATCAGTCATCGCATTTGGCAACCTTAACGGAAAGACCAAAATTTAAATCAGCATTTAACTTCATCCACTGCTGGGGTGGAAGCTTTTTTGTGATCCAAATCCGATTTATGTCTGCATGATAGAGAACTAGTTAAACTGAGTAATTTTGTACCTCATGCAATCAGAGCAATAAGCAACCTTTCCAGTGGTCTAACCCAATCTTGCAAGATGGTATGTATACACTACTGAATGATATGGGAAATCAACAACGAATGATGTGAACCAATGCTTCCCAAGCAGATAGAAGTGATCCACAAAACAACAAACGACTACCTAACTTTTCTGAAGCACACATAAGCGGTATACACGGATGAATAAAAGTTTAGACCCCCGATTTAGTTTAGATTAATGTTATCAGGGTTAGCTATTTGAGATGGATAAGCAATACACAAACGTCACTTTTAAACTACACAGATCGAGGTGACAATTTACCACAGTTTACTTTTGAAGGGTAGAACATTCACATAAAAAAATGTGTTTGATACTACAGATAACAAACCAGAAAAAGCAAGTAAAATAGCAAGACGGCATATACGAATGAATTATATAGGTAGTTGGAATCCATTCACTATTCAGCTGACTGAGAAGCACTAGAAATTGACGTGAGCGGTTGGAAACCACTTATATCAATTAACAGTTCAAGTCGCTTTTATTATTATCATCTTATTTATTATTCCATTGGGTTCCGAGTGGAACATAGGGCTTTAACAGCACAACTCCACTTTGTCCTGTCCTCTGCAGTTCTCTTTAGTTGGCTCCATGAATGCTTATAAGTCCCCTTCTTTTCCTGACACAATCAATTCCATATTACCCTCGGACGCCCAACTCATCACTTCCAATTCGAGTCCCACTCGCGGGGACGGCGTGAGATGTCATTCAATGGTCTCCTCAACGTGTGTCCAATCAGTCTCCATTTTCTTCGGCAAAATTGTTGAGCAATAGGTTCTTTGTTTCATTGTGCATAAAATTCATTTTGATAAAGTCTTACAGTGTTATACAGTAATATTTACTGATGACATTACAAGCACAATTTATTGCTTATAATCATATGAAGTTACACAATTTTTCAACTTCGTCTGTATGATTTCACTATTTCTCATCCGTGCTTTGATTGGTAGCAATACTTCCCATATTTTTGGCATTAGTGATGAGTCATTCCTATTGAACGTATTAGGAGTAGATTCTATGATCAAAGACTCCACCTACACTGTGAGACTTTATCAAAATAAATTTTATCCACAATGAAATTATATCTGTGGTGAGAGCTGGCTGCTAGCCAAATTGGTAGACAATAATTTATGTTAATGTTTAGGTCCCAAATATTAGTCATGTGAAGACAAGAACAAAGACTGACAGCAGACTTTGCGTAGGCGGATACAATTTGCAGATAGATGACCTGACATCCAAGAAACAGCCACAAAGAGATGAAAGATTAAGGTTCAGCGAGAAACCACCAGTCAGAAGGCTGTGTTTGCTTGCTTCCAATAATCTATAATAATGTACATGAAAATCTATAAATATGTGTTGGTTTCCGTAATAAACGATCAGTTGCCTGGCCCTTGTCTTCTGTTGTTGCATATCAAGTCTCTTTGTTGGTTTGTCTCCAAAGTTTCTGGCTTTTACTTTTTTCCAGCCACCTGTGGTTGAGCAGTGGAAGCGTTTTGGGCATATAACGCAGAGGTCCATAGGACCATAAACACGCTGTGTTACCGAACTTCACCTAGTTTACTAATTCGTCAACTGTCTAGACGGTCCTAAGCCTGAGAAAAGCGAGAAGCTTGGCCGTAAGACTGGTGACGTTACCCGGGAAATTCAATCCAGTCGGTACAGAGACTGTAAAACACATGAAAAATCGCTTGTACATATCATTTTGATGAATTAAAGTAACTGATTAGAATATTTTCAGTTTCAGAAGGAAACTGTGGTGAATTGTATCCCCAAACTGTGCATCTTCGAAATAAGAAGCTTTATACTATATGTATATATATATACATATATATATATATATATATATATATATATATATATATATATATATATTGCTACTAATACAAACATAAAGATGCAGCATCCGATGAGATAATACTCAATAAATAAGTATTATTACTTCACTTATTTTATATTTAAATAACTTAGACTGTTTATAATCAACAAGTGAGATAAATGATAGTTTAAACTTCTTTATTCCGATTTTCCTTTGTAACATATTTTTATCGTTATTATTATTTATTGTCCTTGTAAGCAGTTTTATTGATTTTAGTAATGCTCACAACATTAGTTTATTGCTTCCGCTTCAATATATTACCGGATTTTGAGAGTTTTGTTAAAGTATAATTTCATGTTAGATAAATTTATGCTACACACACACACACACACATACACACACACAGACCAACGAATGAAATATCTATTTCCTGATTTATTTACTCATATCTAGAGAGTATATACGTATGTATATTGCAGTATAAAGCACTTTGAACCAAAATAGTCGGTAACTTTTCATGATATTGAATACAATGGCTTATGTGGAGCTGTAAGTCGTTGGTCTTGTCGAATCAACTTCCAACTATTGGTACACACATTCAAAGTTCGTTACACCTGCCGGTGTTTAGGGTAGCCAGGTTGCATCACTAAGCCTCACATAATAGGTGTGATTCATTGCTAGCTAAATACACAATTGCAAGTGGTTGTTGAATAGTATCACATTTAATTCATTTTTCAAGTGATGACACTGGAGTTTTGTTAATAATTGTTTTAAAATGAAATAAGATAAAATAAATGTAAGGGAATATGGTGATTTTATGCATGAACTTTTTATTCTTAACACTGCAACTTCTTTATGAGAAATATTTATTTGAATTGGGAATTCACTCAAGTTTATGGATTGATACCATTAAAAGTGAATAGTATTATACCCTAGACACTAAATCGCATTATCCTGGAGAGAATCAAACACACCATGGATGAAAACTTCGACTGGAACAGGCTGGATTCAGGAGAAACAAGTCATGCATCGAAAAAATCGGAATACTACGGATCATCATTGAACAGAACTTGGAGTGGCAGTCAGCCCTCTATCCCAACTTCATTGACTTTGAAAAGGCCTTCAACAGCGTCAATCGACAGGTGATTTGGAAACTACTACGGGGTGCCGCTAACAATTATACACCTCACCAAACAGTTGTATGACAATGCTGCGTGCCAAGTAATCCACAACGGGAAACTTACGGAATCCTTAGAAGTGAAAATGAGAGTATGACAAAGCTGATTACTACCTCAAATGATTTTCCTAACTGCAGTAGACTGAGTAATGAGACAGATAGGGGACAACGAGGAAACAGGCATATAACGGACCCACAAAAAAACTTGGAGGAGCTGGATTCCACCGATGCTATGTGTCTGATTTCTCACAAACTGGAAGATATGCAAGTGAAAAGCAACAAGTTGGTAGAAGAACCATCAAAGATAAGAAGGACTTCAGGTGAACATAGAGAAAACAAAGGTGATCAAGATTCTCGGCCAACAGCAACAGCAACAACAACAAACAACAATCAGCCAGCATAAATGGGAGAAATCTGAAAGAAGCAACCTCCTTTACCTACCTACCTAGGAAGCATCGTTTCAACTACAGGCCAACGGAACTGACGAGGATATCAAAGCCAGAATCGGAAAAGCAAAACAAGCTTTCATTACTCTTAAGTCTGTGTGGAAGTCAGCAGCACTCAGAATCAGAAATAAGATCCGGATTTTCAACTCCAATGTGAAGTCACTGCTACTATACGGATCAGAGACTTGGCGCCTCGCCACAAAGGGCACTTCGAACAAACTGCAGTTGTCTTCGCTTAATACTACTCAAGATCAGATGGCGGGCCAGAAAACATGAGCCATAGAGAGGGATCTCTGGGAGCGAACCAACCAGGAACCGATTGGGCAACAAATATGCAGGAAGAAATTGAGGTGGATTGGCCATACTCTGACAAAAAAACCATCAAGTGAAATCACAAGACAGGCCATCCCTCGAGTGGAACCCGCATGGGAAGAGGCGAGTTGGTCGTCAGTGCGAGGGTGACATGGAAAAGGTCACGCGAAGAGGAGATGAAAACATGTGGGCAGACGTGAAGCCACGTGAAAACGTTGGTGGAGAACCGAACGGAATGCAGACGCACGTCTGAAGCCCCAAGTTCCACTAGGAACTAAAGGAAACAATAATAATATACCCCAGATATAAAGTTCTCATGTAGTAATAACTACGTACTAAAGTTTTTTAGGTGAAATAAAATCATTCATTAATAAGTCATGTTAAAATATGAAAGCTTGGTATAATTTTGACTGGTTAAATAATCAGTAATATTTTTTTTCTTATACAGGTCAGTAATATAGAAAAGCGCAATGATAATATGAATATTTAGGTCATGGGATTATTAGGGATTTAGCTTAATTTGAATGTAGATTTCGCTACAAGCTAATATCGGTGTTGGAGATCACTGTAAAACCAGGGAGCAATGGATAGCAGTCTGGTCCTAGTTTAAGACTGTTCAAATGTGCATACTCACAACTCCACCACGGAGCCATTGGATTATGGCGTAACTGGTTACATGGTCAGTCAGTGAGCTTGGTATTGTAACCTAAGTGTTCCGGGTTCGATCCACGGTGATGTTAACTTTGTCGCCACAATTAACACTTTGTCTACACTTTTTCATCAGATTTTTAATCTTAAGTTACATCAATTAATTAAATCTATCTAGTTTAACTTTGAACACATATAAACGGGTAACAATGGACGATACATGCAAATGTACTATTATTTTACTAGTATGATGATAGTAGACATTTTTTCTGGAGGATAAGAAATGTTGAGGTGAGCTATGATTATATAGGGATTAAAAGCTTTAAAGCAAAAAGAAACGTTATGTCTACGCGATAAAGAAATTATTATTATTCCCTTGGTTGCTGAGTGGAACATAGGGCTTCAACAACACATATCCACTTCGTTCTGTTTTCTGCTCTCCACTTCAGCTGGGTTCACGATTTCCCTAAACCTCTCATCTCCTCTGACGATCTCCTCAGTGTTACCCTAAGTCTACCAACTTATCGTCTCCAACTCAGGTTCCATTTGAGTGATGACCAGGCGCACGGTGTCATTCGATTGTCTCCTCAGCGTATGCCCGATCCATCTCCATATTCTACAACATATTTGTTGAACGATAGGTCTTTCGTCAGTCCTTCTCATAGTTTATTGTCTGTGATTCTTTCTAGCCATTTGATCATCAATAAAGCGCCAAAGAAGAGGGCAGCTGTTAATAAAAGTCGACAGTGGCCTGTTGGAAATACTTCTTGTGACACCGGTGCCAATTTTTCGACCCATATAGAAGAACTGAGTGACTTCACATTTATGCTGAAAATCCGAACCTTGTTCTTTATGCTAATTACCGATTTCCACACTGATTTCAGACTGATAAAGGCGTATCTTGCCTTTCTGATTCTGACCAACTTTGACATGTTAATCCGTTACCCACATTAGTTGAAACAATGCTTCCTAGATTAGCAGCAAGTCTGTCTGCCACTCGCTGCTCTGTTCCATGATGATGCGTATTATTGCAATTTGATCACTACATGATTCACCTCTCCTGAATCCAGCTTGTTCTGGTGCGTGGCGGAGTTCTGAATCCAGTGCACCTTTTATTATCTTCAGGATGATGTGATTTAGTACCTTACTTGGTGAGGACAAGAGCAGGTTTCTACGCCAGGCCTAAGTCGCCCTTCTTTGGCAGCATAATACGGTAGCCGTTTCTTCCAATCGGTAGGCACCTTTCCTTCTATTATTACAATAAGGAATTAACAACATTCCTGCTTCTTTTACTAAGAGGAATGCTTGTTAACAAAGGAGAAAAGTACACCAAAGCTAACTTACTTGACTCGGAAATGAAATATACATTAGTGCTTCATACTGACACCAGCTACTAATCACATTGCTAACAGAAGCATATGCGTATTCGACAAAAGGTGCTTTACGACCTTGTTGCCAAGGGTTGACAATAAATCCCAAATTTAAACAGTGTAAAGGTAATAAGATGATCAGAGCTGTTATACGATTACAAAAGACGAGATATTGTGATTTTTCAAACTTTTCGTTGCCATACACTTTAGTCATGATTCGCTCCTGTAAAACAAAGAAATAAACATAACTTAAAACAAAAGAAATACAGTTGGTGTTGACACAAATAATACGATACTTTTACATCGAAACATGTACGAAAAGATAATGATATTTAAGGGGACCAAAGAAGTCAATCTATCCCATTGAATCTTAGCCACTTCGCTTTCAAAGGTCAATTTTTTATCCGTGCTGACTAGATCAGATTGCAGACTATTTGGTTTTCAAGGAACAAAAGCACGGATGGGAATTGTAGTGTGATTGCAAACCTCTATACTCTATTCATATCATCGTTAATGATCACGTCCCTGAACAGGCAAAAGGGTTATGTTCTCCCTTCTCTAGTTGGGGCGGTGTCGAGAACAGTTTGGCCACCAGATTAGGTGGGCCAAACTAAAGAGTCAATAGGTAGTGTGACCAAGGCTACGCTCTAGCAAGACGGGTGACCACGAAACAATCTTGAACGTTATTTCTAGTTGAAGGCCATTAGAAACGAGGTCGAATTCATTCCAGCAGCGTAACTAACTGGTTTTCTAGAATATATTACCTATCAATAAAGGTCGTTAAACTGTAAGTTTGTAGTTTTGTTGGAAAGTTGGTAAGACAAAGTAATGTACAATGGCAGGGGTGGCACTTATCCTAAAAACTCATTAGGCAGGAATCAACAGACAAAAACAAAATGGAATAAAACACTCAACATCTCGACAAAGTTGGATGATGAGTTTGGCATACGAAGGTATATAAAACAGTATCAATGAAATAGTGTTGAGTTACGTGTTTAACAACTCAACAGAATATCAAGTTTTGTTAAGTATTTGGACAGCAAATATTTAACAAAACAATCAGAATTATACCAAGAAAATATATCTGGAAGTTAACAAATGAAAGGGCCATCGATAAGCAAGGCACAACAATCCACAAGAAGAGAATGATGCATAAGATGACTAAACGTTAAGACATCATTAGCATTTATGGACTTTTACACGATGATCGATTAAGGAACGAATTTATGGTGGAAGGAATTTGGGAATTCCGTACAGGTTTTAAAATTGATGGACAATCTATATTTTTTTTAAATGACTTTACGGTAAATCTATGCTGACGATCTATCTAAGAAACAACGATATTTTCAAACACTGAACTACTATACGTATCCATTATGGGTAAATTTTGTTTTGATAAAGTCTCACAGTGTTATACAGGAATGTTTACTGATGACGTTTCGAGCACAATTTATTACTGTTCATAATCATATCAAGGTACTCATACGACTTGCTAACTTCATTTATATAGTTCCATTATTTTTCACTTGATTTGATTGGTAGTAGTATTTTCCATATTTCGGGTATGAGTGATGAATCATTCATATTGCATGTGTTGGGTGTAGGACTCGATGAACAAGGATTCAGTAATCAACCTCTCTCTCCACCTACCTAGATTACTTTTTAGAATTTTAACCCTCTCCCACCCTATTGTGTGGTTGTGTGTTGATGCATGCATTGCAATTGCTGAGCTTTTTTCTAATTTATTTATCTTCTCGGGGTCAACCATTCTTACCTTAGCTAAATTCTTATGTTCCGACAATCTGACTACCCACGACCTACTAGTTTGACCTATGTAGTTAATCTCACAGTCTCATTCCAAGATATTTTGTGAATTATATTATTTTGTCTAATTGGGTCCACTGGGTCTTTAGCCTACAGAGCTTGTCTCTGAGTGAGTTTGTAGGTTTAAATGCCACTCTGATTCCTGCTTTATTAAGAATCCTACGTAGGGTCTCAGATGTCCCCTCCTTGTATGGTATAACAGTGGATGACTTACATTCTCTCTTACTTATGTTATCATTACTAGTTTCACAATTACTTTTATTTTGCTTTTGGCCTTTACTGATCTTCCTAATGAATTTTACAGGATAGGTATTGGATACCAACGCTTCTTCTATTTGTTTTATTTCATCATTTAGGTCTTTTCTTGTGCTACTTAGTGCCACTACTCGGTTTGTTAAATACTTAAGTAAGCCTGCCTTAATAGTTAACGGATGAGATGAATTAAAGTCCAATTATCTACTAGAATGACTTGGTTTCTTGTACACAGTAGTGTGCAGTTTACCTCCTTCTATTCGTTTTATTTTACAATCTAACATAGCTAATTCTTCTTGTTCATTTTCCGCTTCAAATGTGAATTTTATTCCCCCCACTAGTGAGTTTATTTGTGTCAAGAAGCTAGAGATATGTTCTGTTTTTAACACTGTGAAAGTGTCATCCACATATCTCCACCATATTTTTGGAGTAGGAATAAACTTATTAAGAGCCAAATTTTCCCAGCTGTCCATAAATATATCTGCTACGATAGGGGATAATGGTGATCCCATTGCTACACCTTCAGTTTATATATATATATTGCTCGTAAAGCAGAATTTATTGATCTGGAACCAATCATTAACCAAGCCGTCTTTCCAACTATAATTATAATTATTCAGTTTAATATGAAAGTAAGTGGTTGATAAAATAAGACATTATTTACAATTTAAAAAAATTACCTGCAATAATCCCCATAACAAATAAGAGAACTGCAGACCAATAAAACAAAGTGCCAACAGGGCATAGTATTGTTTTGTAGTCCTCAATGATGGAGTACAGTCTAGACCGAAATAGGATTGTATACAATTTATACATTTAAACAATTTTGAATGTGATCCCAAGCGAGTAGTGGACACAGTTACAGGGATTGGTAAATCAATACGCAGAACATTTTCAACATTTTCTGAAGCGTTGACATCAGGTACAAAACAGATGTATATCGCTCTTGCAGAACACGATTTAGTAGTATCTAAATAAGATGTAGAAATTTTAAAAATAAAATTGTGACAACCCATATAAAATTTCATTACGGTGTAAAAAAACCACTTAGATTTTTATGTCATAATTCACTTCATTCGTCCATGGATTTTGATTGTGAATTCAGTGTAATTACAGATCATTCGTAACTGGTTTAAATTTAATGCGCTTGGAAAGTTAATAACTGAAAAAATGTACAGTGACATGAGAATTAACTATAGATATAATAATCCATAGATAATAGTGACTACAGAAGTATTCATATCATTTTTCACGGTATCACTCATGTTAAGTATTAAGTGTCTGAAGGGTCAGTAGGAAAGGAAAATAAGACAACAGTAGGTAAAATATTTGATTAAATGACACTTCAAATCAACTATAATTCGAAAGAGATAATACTAATAATAAAACAAGGATTGCTTTCAGTGAATGAGTTAAAGATCCGGTTCTCGTTCCATCTAAATCATGTTAGATGACTTGCCAACATTCAAAGTTTTCACAAAGTACACGACACCCTACCACGAATAACTGAGTTGCACTGGAGGCATGAAATAAGTATAGTCCGCAGTACTGCCAGGAAAATAAAGGAAGGGATCTAGCGAAAAGACTCTTTTCAACGAATTCCACTCGAACTCTGGTCGAAGCAGGCTTTTGTTCCACTCAGCCTATCTACGCACATCATACTATATTCTTGATGAGACGACAGGTGTGGTTACACTACCAGAAGTGTATAATCGCTCCACGCATCAGCTACATCCACATTGGCTGTGATGCATCAGAGGTTCAATGGTAGAATGTTAGTCAGTCATGGACATTGGCTTCGCTGAGTTTCCCGTTGTGGATCACCTGACACATACCATTGTTATATAACCAACTGGTGAATGAGGTGAATAAAGGTTTGGAACACTACACCCCACCATAGTGTTGAAGCAGTCTCCAAATTACTTCTCGGTCAAAGCTGTCTGTCGAAGGCTCTTTCATAGTCGATGAAGTTGAGGTACATGTCTGACTGACACTCTGCTTTGTTACATGACGATAAGTAGAGTTGCGACTTGATCAGAACATGATTCGCCTAGCCTGAACCCAGCTTGTTCTAGTGGGTAGCGGGGTTCTGAATCCAGTGCACCTTTTATTTTATTATCTTCAGGATGACGCGATTTAGTACTTTACTTGGTGAGGACAAGAGCACCATTCTACGCCAGTTCTCGCAGAGGCCTAAGTCGTCCTTCTTTGGCAGTATAACAAGGTAGCCTTGTGTTGAGAGCTGGCTGTTAGCCGAAATTGGTGGACAGTAATTTACGTCAATGTTTATGTCCCCATTATTGTTCGTGAGAAAAATGAGAACAAAGACTGCGTAGGCGGATGCAGTTAACATATAGATGATCTGACATTTAAGAAACAGCCACAAAGAGATGAAAGATTAACTTTCAGTGAGAAACAACCAATCAGAAGACTGTGTTTTTCTGCTAACAATAATGTATAATATGTACATGAAAATCTGTAAATATGTTGATTTCCTTAACAAACGATCTGTTTCCTGGCCCTTGTCTTCTGTTGTTACAGCCTTTCTTCCAATCGGGAGGCACCATCCCTTCCTTTCAAACCTTTTGCGCATCTGCGTCCGTTTTCAGTTCTTCAGAGGGATTCCGTCTGGCCCTGCTGCCTTCCCGGCAGGATTTCAGTAGCTTGATCACATTTAGGATTTCCGCTTTTGTTGGAGGATTGGTATCAACACTGACGCTTCTGTGCCTGATGTTAATGGTGGTATTTCTGGGCGAGCTGCAGGTGACAGTCCACTCGAGTCATTTGCAGTGATCAACCTACTGTATTATTTGTCACTTAACCTTGGTAATTAGGTTCCGTTGACCATCTTTTATAAGTTTTATCTGCATTGATCACTTCCCGGATGGGGAGTGAACTAGTTATCTGATACAATGTTCTGAGGTCTCTTCTACCTGCGGTCTACCTGTTCTGCTTCAGTTACCAGTCAGTGTGTCGTGGAATTGATGAGTTCTCTTCCTGTATTATCTGCTCACAGTTCGGCTGGCATTCATATAGCCCATGAGGATTTTGATGTCACCATTTGGGATGTTGTCCGTTACTGTTCGTAGGTGTCTATAAAAATCTTCCTTCTCTTGTTGCTCATTATTTGTAGGTGCGTAGCATTGGACAGTTGTAACCTTCCTTTCTTTTGAGTACAATTTTGGTGTCATAATCTCGGATGAAACTTATTCCAACTACGTTACTAGTTTGGCTGCCTCTAGTGACATCATGATAGCCACTCAATGCCTCAGTGTGCTCGTGTTTGTCATTTTGAAACGTGGAAGACGAAAGAATTGGTAAATGAATATTTACTTGGAAATTGGTACCTCTATATAGCCAAATTATGTATGACTTATCTTCAACGCACCATCTGCACAGATCTTTGTGTTGTGGTACTTCCGGACTTCATGTTGTGTTTCTTTAATGTCTCCGATGTATCTCCACACCATTGTATCATTTCCCTTCGCTGAAATTAAATGTATTTCCCCACTATTTGATGTTTTTTATGCCGACGAACGTCTGTTTATGTACTACTGACAAATCTTATCAGTAGCATTCGTCACAATCTGGATGATCGGACCAGAGTACATTACTGACTCGATGGTTGGCAATTTTAACAGTCCACATCGATTCCACCTGCTCTCGCAGATTCCCAGCGCTTCTATATCGTATCTTCTCATGTTTTTGGCTACCTCGACAGTCTTTCCAGCTTCGAACATTGTACGTACATTCCACGTTCCAATTCTTATTCTTGCTTTCACGGAAAGAAGACACAACAGCTGACTGGCTTTTCGAAGGCTTTTACCAGCCCACTGTGTCATTTCGCCTTTCCGGTTCCAACGAATGATAGGTTTGTTTTTATATTTGTTTGTAATTGTAAAATTGTTCTTGTGTGCTGAAGTTTCTCTGGGCAGTTTGATAGCTTTCGTGGTGTAGGGTCGCAAGCCCCACGCCCAACCTTCCCTCCCTCTTTACCAGGGCTTGGACGTGGCTAGTAAACAAGGCTAGGTTAATTACACAAAAACAAAATAAAATTACTGAACAACTACGATTTAAAATTTATTGCTAGATAGGTATTTACCTTCCTAAGAATGCATTATAATTTCACGAATTGATTACGGATTGATATCAGTTAGAGAACCATTGAAAACCAACTAGGAGTACTGGACAGCTGCTGTTTCATCCTAGTTTGGGAATAATCGGCAGTAAGCACCCACCACCAGGGTTCGAACCCAGGACCTTCCGGTTACAAGGCAAGCTCGTATACGATTCAGCCACTGGGACCCGATTCAATAGCTCATAAATTCTAACTTCTACCAATTCGTGATTTAGCGCATACTGCCGATGATTCCCAGACTAGGATGAAACAGCAGCTGTCCAATACTCCCAGGTTTTCAATGGTTTTCCGACTGATATCAATCCGTGATCAACTCTTAAAAACATAACTAACCCTTACAAACCAAACTATAGAAAATGTATTATACATCCAAAATATTTGTGACTAATCAATGTATTCGCATTCTAATAAGTTAGTATAACCTGAAAATAGTAGCATACAGTTAGTTTTATTTATTTTTATTATTGTTCCCTTAGGTTCCTAGTGGTACATAGGGCTTCAACTGCACGTCTCCACTTGCTTCTGTCTTCTGCTGTACTTTTCACCTGCATCCATGTTAGTCCATACTGTTTCAACTCCTCTTTACACGATCTTCTCCATGTCACATTTAATAATTATGATAATGAAAAATGTGACAGAAGTCAGAACCAGTAAGTACACATAGGTTAGACTTTATAGAAAAAAAAACAGACTAAGAATAATACCACTTATACGCAGTCATTTTTCAGTAAGTGAAGACTCTTGAGATTCCAAAAAACAAAGAAAAAAACATATGAAGATAATATTAAAACACAGATCATCTAATACAATGGTGGTGGTTTTTTTTAAATAAATAGAACTCACCCTTAGTTATGTGCAATTTATACCTTTTTTTGAAGTACGTATGTAACAACAACAAAGGCATAATAATCGTTGAGTATAATAATAAGGTGGTTATTAATTGGATTAACCACGAGAAGTGATTGTCAACAAACGGAAAGTACTCCTTCATATTAGATGATTAGTCAATCAATGAAAATGCTATTCACGATACAGCAGACGCAGGAAACCTAATAAATAACAGATTAAAATGATAAATAAATGAGGTTTTTTTACTTGTTAAGTGATGACCTAAAATGTATCAACTTACACAATATTAAAAGTGAACCAAAATAACTACACTCAACATTAAAGTAGATCATTCTTAATGTTCCCACTTCAACGTGTCAGTTCACACTACAACAACTTAAAAAGGGCTTATAATAGGGCTGAAACTCATAATTATGAAATCTACAGACTTTTTCAGTGACGTCATAACAATAAATGCCAAAAAAATGCAGAAAATTAAATTAAGGAAGAAATTAACAAAGGTCAAAAGACAATAGAATTCTTAAGAAGGTCCACGAAGTTGAAGCTATTAAAAAAACAACGCTACTGGCTAACATTATATGGAGTGGACTGACGAATTCAGCGCTAACTTTTCAACAAGAGAATCCTGACTCAAATTTTACTCAACTTATTTTGATCCAGGTGACTAGACAGTAAAATAAGCCTTCACACAATAATAGTAGATCATAGCCTAGTACATGAAAAATATCTGAATACATAAATTCGAAATAATAATAATAATTATTATTATTGTTCCCTTGGGGTTCCTAGTGGAACATACGGCTTCAACTGCACGTCTCCACTTGCTTCTGTCTTCTTTCTGCTGTACTTTTCACCTGCATCCATGTTAGTCCATACTGTTTCAACTCCTCTCTCTTCACACGATCTCCTCCATGTCACCCTTGCACTGACGTCCCACTCGCCGCTCCCCTTTCGGCCTGGTTCCACTCCAGCAATGGCCTGACACGCGCGCGATGTCACCCAGCAGCCTCCTCAGCGAGCGTCCAATCCATCTCTACTTTCTCCTGCGATTGGTTCTTGTTTTGTTTGAATACATTAAGTTCGAAATAATTAACAGACTTAATTTAGGCCATATCAGTTGACAACAGGATTTCGCACAGGCGTACAGTAGTCACATTTCACAACAACAATAAGATATTCAGTGAATAGATGTAAAATAATATCAAAAATACGTAAATAGTATTAGAAGAAAGAGAGAATAATTCCGTTGCTTTCAGTGAAAATGTTTTCAAGTCATACAACGACGTAGAAAGAGTTCGCTTAGTGTAATGTGATGTATGTTAACCAGAGTCGATTTTAAACATATAGGGGTATTGGCCATGTGACTCACACCGTCCAAAATTTAACGACTCCATAAATTTCAGTCAGGTTTAGTTTGACTTAAATTACGCATTCTTTAAAATTCACTACATTCTGTGGTTCATTGTAACGTAAAACTTAGTATATGAGTCAACCAGTTCAAGATACCACAACTCAGCTAAGAATATAAAACTGGAGGAATGCAGTAAAATCACGACATTTAAACATGTATCTCAAACAGAAAAATTGAATGAAAACATGGATATATAATGTGAACGACTTAAGCACTATGGTAGTATGTAGTTCCATAATTATATGTTTATTAGTTATATCACACAGTGAAACGGTATTATTTACTGGATGACGTTTCGAACAAAATTTATTGTTCATAATCATATCAATTATAATCACACGACTTCGAAACTTGAGTTTTATAGTTTCCTTTGTTTTCTCCTATTTATCGTAGGGATAGTAGAATTTTCTAGATATCTGGGACAGGTATTGAGTCATTCCTATTACACGTGTTTGCAGTTAATTCGATAAACAAAGCTTCCGTTATCAATCTCTCCCTCCACCTTGTTACATTAGATTTTAAAACTGTCATCTTATCCCATCCTATTGTAAGGTTGTGTGTGATTGCATGTATTGCTATAGCCGAACTATTCTCTAGATTTCTTATCTTATTCGGGTCAACTAATCTAGGTTTTGCTAGTTTTTTGTGCTCAATTAGTCTGACTGCACTTGTTCTACTACTCTGACCTATTTATTTGACCTGACAATCATCGCAGGGTACTAGATAAACTAAATTGTTTTGTTTTAAAAGCCCCACAAGATCTTTTAGCCAACAAAGCTTGTTTCTAATTGAATTTGTAAGTTTAAATGCCACTTTTATTCCTACCCTGTTAAGAATTCTGCGTAAGGTTTCCGAGGTTCCTTCCTTGTATGGAATTACTACAGACGATTTACCCTCCGACAGATTCTAGAACATAGGCATTCCTACCGGCGTCCAACAGTCATTATATTTCTTGACTTAAAGGCAGCATTCGACTCTGTCGATCGGGAAGTTCTCTGGGGATGCTTGGCTGTAAAGGGAATCCCGAGAAAATATATTGCACTGATTAAGGCACTCTACTCGTACTCATACAGCCAGGTGAGGGCTTACGGCGAGCTGTCATCTGAACTGATGACGACCAGTGGTGTCCGTCAAGGATGCCCATTATCCCCTTTTCTATTCAACTTCATCATAGATGTACTAATGGACTTAATCCTAAGTGACTTCAGCGACTCAGGGATTGACTTGCTACCAGAGAATAATCTCGTTGACTAAGAATATGCAGACGATATAGTCCTTCTAGGCGAGGACGCTGACAAAATAAAGCAGAGTCTTCTGAACACCTTGAGCTGCAATCTACGAATGTTTGGCATGCGATTAGTTCCCGCCAAATGCAAGATGATGTTACAGGACTGGACTACACTGACTCCTAGATTAGAAATAGGGGGTGAAGTGGTAGAGCACGTTGACCGCTTCACTTATTTGGGAAGTACCATCAGACCCAACGGGCTGATCTCTGACGAAATCTCAGCACGAATACAAGGGGCTCGTTTCGCATTTGGCAGTTTACGCCGACTTTGGCGTAGACGAGATGTTCGACTATCGACCAACGGGCGGGTGTACTGCTCATCAGTCCGCTCCGTCCTCCTTTATGGTTGTGAGACCTGGCCACTGAGAGTGGAAGACATGAAAAAGGTGACTAGCTGTCTTTGATCATAGGTGCCTGCGTTCTATTTCCCGTGTGAAGTGGCATAATAAGGTGAGCAACATTGAGGTTAGGCGTAGAGTTCTAGGTAAACAGGGGAAATCAATCGACGAAGTCGTGAAGCTACAAAGACTGAGATGGTTAGGACATGTGTTACGTATGCCAAGTCATCGCCTCCCTCGACGAGCAATGTTAGCGGATATAGGGTCAGGCTGGAAAAAAGCTAGCGGCGGTCAAACAAAAACTTGGCATCAGTCAATGAAATCCACAACAGTTGGTCTAAGCCACGTAGGAAGGTGTAGACTTCCAGGCTGGGGTCCTCGGGACGGTAAAAACCAATGGTTGGAAACAATTGGTGACATGGCTCAAAACCGTTCTCAGTGGCGCAGATGCATCCACTCCCTGTGACTTATGATCTTCAGTGAAACTGTTTTGTATTTCTTTATTACTCCTTTGTCTCACACCTCTGCTCACTGTTTCTATTATGCTTTTCTTGTACTTTCTTCTCTTGCTTCGCGTGCTACACGGAATGTGGCGACTTGAATTTCCGCACATTTGTGCAAAGTTCTATGTCGAAAACAGACAGACAGACTGACGATTTAGATTCCTTATTGCTGGGTTGTCGTTATTCTGCGCATGTTTGACATGCATGTCGTCATTAACATTACTATAATAATAATTATTATTATCACTATCACAACTATCATTATTTATCTTATTTTTACACTTCCTTACATATTTTCTAACTAATTTATCATGGTAATTATTAAGTTTGAAAGCTTCTCTCATATGCCTCACTTCCTGTCTTAGATTTTCCTTGGTACTACTTAGTTTTTGTGCTCTATTACTTAAACATTTCACCAATTCTACTTTCACTGACATAGGATGGAATGATCGGAAGTCCAAATTTCTGTTTGACTGTTTGGGTTTCCTGTAAGTGGGTTATCAATCTCTCAACACACATATTAAGTCCTAGAGAAATAAGTGTATTAGAAAATGGACTGAATTTCAATGTAGCGGTAGACAAGCTGAAACTTGAAGATGTCATCCCTAAAATAGAAACACTCGGCCGATAACTGCTACCTTGCCGTGGTGGTCGGGCCTGAATACCCTAATGACCCAACACGCTAAACTGACTGGGACTCTGTCCCTGCAGGTCCTACCATGTCAGGAAGGTTGTTTGGATAGCGGTTAAACTAAAAGCAGTTACCATAGGGTACATGGGCTCCTGTATCCAATCGGATCAAATGGAGTATGAACCCATATGGGTCACCGGGAACCATGGGAATGTAGCTCCTGACGCTGCTCCGCTGCCTTGCGGATTAGACCCCAAGTCAAAGGCTCGCGGGGGAGTGGCCTCTTAATAAAACCACCTTCGGTCTGGGCGCCCGTGCAGTATCTCAACCCTCATACAATAAATCAAATGAAGCAACAGCTCAAATCGATGGCTCGAAACGTTATCGGATATGGCCAAGAATCGTAATCAATGGCGAACGTGTTGCAATTTCCTTCTCTCCTCCCTTTTCGATGATAGTTAACGAATACTGTTTGAACTTGTTAAGCATGACTGTTTTCCTTCCAGATGAAGTTCTTTATCCGTTCTCTACTTATATATTTTTTCTTTTTTTCTCTTGATCTATGTTGCTTTATTATTATTGTGTGGCGCATGCTTCTTGGTGCCATATTGTACCAAGTTTTTATGCGTTTAAATAAATAAATAAATAAAATAGAAACAGCACTAAGTGGGATAGACGAAACAACGGTTGCCGAAGTACGGGCACAATGTGCACTAACATTAAAACAACAAAAACGAGGTAAGCCTAACCTGACAAAAGCAGAGATAGAAGCCCTAGAATACCTTAAGAATAACAAAGATATAGTCATCAGAGTCAGATAAAGGAAATGCAACAGTAATATAAGACAAATCAGACTATTTGGACGAGGTTAGTAATACTCATATACAAACCGGACCATATGAGGAAATTAATAAATCAATAGACACAGTTATGAATACAGTTAAGAAATCCACAGTGGACCTTATACGCCGAATGAGGCCGTTTCTAGATCAGTCTAAATGGTTTAATTTAATGCCCAAGACTAATAACCCCAGTAAAATGTACGGTTGTTAAAGTTCATGAGTCAGAATACCCCATTACACTTATAGTTGATTTTAGAAATTCACCTACTTATGAATTGTCTAAATATTTAGCCATGATATTAGATTCCCTTAAAAGACTCCCAAAATCTAGACTAACAAATTCTTATGAACTAAAACATAGATTAAATAATTTAAAATTAGATAATGAGAAGAAAATGGTGAGTTTTGACATTATCAGTTTATATACACGTATACCAATAGATACGGCTATAGAGGCAATCAGAAACCAACTCATTTCTGACCAACAAATCTAACGGAAGTGCCACTTGAGGACATAATGCTGGGAGTACAGCTATGCCTGACTTCCAGAGTATTCAAATTCCAAAGGAAAATATACAAACAAACTGAGGGGGTTGCCATGGAGTCACCAATATCCCCGGTTGTGGCAGATATATTCATGGATAAGTGGGAAAACATAGCGATTGAAACGTTTAGCCCCACCCGAAAAGTATGGTGGAGGTATGTAGATGACACATTCACTCTACTTAGAACACAGGACATAGATACATATTTCGAACACATTAACTCAAAGGCGGAAGCAATTCACTTCACTTGTAAATTGGAAAGTCAGGAACGGAGCTACCAGTGTTACATTGTAGTGTAAAAAGGAAAGAAGATGCGAAGTTAGACAATGTTGTTTACAGAAAACCCACACATTCAAACAGAAATTTGGACTTCCGATCATTCCATCCTATGTCAGTGAAAGTAGAATTGGTGAAATGTTTAAGTAATAGAGCACAAAAACTAAGTAGTACCAAGGAAAATCTAAGACAGGAAGTGAGGCATATGAGAGAAGCTTTCAAACTTAATAATTACCATGATAAATTAGTTAGAAAATATGTAAGGAAGTGTAAAAATAAGATAAATAATGATAGTTGTGATAGTGATAATAATAATTACTATTATAGTAATGTTAATGACGACATGCATGTCAAACATGTGCAGAATAACGACAACCCAGCAATAAGGAATCTAAATCGTCAGTAGTAATTCCATACAAGGAAGGAACCTCGGAAACCTTACGCAGAATTCTTAACAGGGTAGGAATAAAAGTGGCATTTAAACTTACAAATTCAATTAGAAACAAGCTTTGTTGGCTAAAAGATCTTGTGGGGCTTTTAAAACAAAACAATTTAGTTTATCTAGTACCCTGCGATGATTGTCAGGTCAAATAAATAGGTCAGAGTAGTAGAACAAGTGCAGTCAGACTAATTGAGCACAAAAAACTAGCAAAACCTAGATTAGTTGACCCGAATAAGATAAGAAATCTAGAGAATAGTTCGGCTATAGCAATACATGCAATCACACACAACCTTACAATAGGATGGGATAAGATGACAGTTTTAAAATCTAATGTAACAAGGTGGAGGGAGAGATTGATAACGGAAGCTTTGTTTATCGAATTAACTGCAAACACGTGTAATAGGAATGACTCAATACCTGTCCCAGATATCTAGAAAATTCTACTATCCCTACGATAAATAGGAGAAAACAAAGGAAACTATAAAACTCAAGTTTCGAAGTCGTGTGATTATAATTGATATGATTATGAACAATAAATTTTGTTCGAAACGTCATCCAGTAAATAATACCGTTTCACTGTGTGATATAACTAACGAGGAAACTAATATGGAATTAAATGAAAATATGGAATAATAAGGTTTATTGTCTTACTATGGCTTAAGGTAAACTTTATCCTATATGAAACGGTTTGGAATGATGAATTAACTTTGTCGTTACTGATGATGTCATTATAGTGTTTCAACTACACTCACAAAGAAATTTATCGAAAAATATTCTCTTGCTCTTTTACACTACAACTTCACCTAAAGACCTACACGGTATTATATGCAGCATGTAGTTCGATGGTAGCTGTTCCTAGACTAATCTCCATTAACCCTACGTCCATGGATTGACAGAACTTAATACGAAATCGTTTTCAGTCAGCATGCGTAGCTAGGTCATTGCGATAAACAGATCCAACCACGATGTCAACCGTAGCAGTTATCATTTGAACTGGTGGGATGTAACTTACGATACGCGGTTATCGCAGTTACTAGCAGTTTGACTGTAGACGCCAACACATTAGTATATGCTTAACAGGTAAACTAACTTATTAAATGCTTCATCAAACACAAACGACGCTTAGAAGACTATTACAATCAGATATTGCTACTTCCGAGTTCAAAAATAACACAATAAGCAGTTGGAAAAGCTGCATAATTCATTAAATAAGGACCACAAAACTTTTACTTGTTAAGAAGCAGGCTATATTTTGTGATATTCCCGTAAACTCATTTACTTTTTGCCACCAGTCTACAAAGGAAACGAAATAAAACTGCGTCATTAAAAGTTACAACGAGAGGTATAATGTCAGACGTCCATAGCAAAGTAAAACTATTTCAGGAGTGATTGGAATTATTCATGACTGAGATATATGTAAACCTGGTCAACTGATGGCTTCCGTTGTTCCATATTGTTAGAATGTCGGTGATAACCGCACTGTCTACGGTAAAAAGTATGCCAAGACTCAAACTCTATTTAGATTTGTCGTAGCCTCATGAACAAATTTTTGGCACAAAGATATGCTTCAAGTTCTTATAGGTGATGCCTTTTGACAGATCTGTTAAATGTTTATTCGAATAAACCAGTTTACGCGCATAAATTCACTCTCAAAGGTCAACATTGTACCTGGACATTTTCTACTCTTAATACTTGCTGCATACTCAATTTATGCTAACTAATATGGATTTAGAGAGCAATGAAGATATTTATTGGGATTTTACGTTTATTTTACGACACTCAGCTACTTGTTTTCTACCAAAACAGGTAAAAAGCTGAATAAGAGATGAGTCATTTTCAACCAATAAAAAGAACCACAAGACTAAAGTAGGATTCTGAGACCTTTGACAATTACGGAGAAATAAAATCTGCATGACCAAAGTTTTCTGCCCGATGTATTTGCATTTGGCACGTTTTTACTAGCTGATATGTTCCATATTTTTACTGTATGGTTGAAAAATATACACAAGGATACGGTATTGATCTATGAAATCACCTCAAAGACGTCTGAATGGAGTACCTCGATAACAATGTCATTCAATTATGCTACTCTTAAAAAGTTAGTGATATTTTCAAACAGTAATGTAAGTTAAGACACCACATATGCTTATTTTAACAACCAGTACATATTTTTATCAAACTTAAAACTTCAGCCAACTTGAAACACAACACTTAAGACAGTTACAGCTCCATGTGCTAGGCCCAACAACCTTGAGAGTTGTAAGTGCGACCAGACCTAATAATTTCAAATAGGTGATTATAACAACATAAAAATCACTAAAGAATGGTGGCATTTGCCATTGTTTTAGAGGTAACTGAAGGAAATTAAAGCAAGTTAGTTATAAAATTTTCATAGATAAATGATGAAAACACATTTGTATCTAGATTTCAATGTCTATGATCTAATATCCAGTATCGTTTTTACGAGCTAGGAAAAACCAATTCGATTTGTTTGTGCTCGCCTATTAATTTTGAGGTAATGGTTTCTGATCTTCGGTAAACTTCTGCGTAGCTCTTCCCGCCACTCGACTGTCGTAGCTTTGGTTGACTCCAAAGGGAGTAGTGCTTGGATTAATTATGTGCGGTTTGTAGTATGACGTGTGTTACTACTGTTACTACTGTGAATGGAGCTGATCCTTTCACCAGTTAGTCCCCGGTATCCTCGTCAAAAGAAAAGATATAAAAATAATAGATATAATTAGTGAAGTTATTCAGACTAACAGACAAAAAGAAATAAAGAAAATGTAACAAAAGTCAGCTGGCAAAATTTTAAGAATAATATGAATAATATATATATCGGTTATAATGATAATAATAACGAGTGTAGTTAAAGTTGTCAGGAGAGTAGGACGAGAGAGAATGAAAAGAAGTAAAACGGCGAGTTGGTGTGTGGGATTTTAGGGGAATAAGCCATTTGGACGCGTTCCTTGTGTCGCTGCATGATTGTCAAGCCTTCTCTTAAAGGCGTCCACAGACAGTGCCATAGCTAAATTTTCCCGTAAGGAATTCTAGGGATGGCAAACCCGCAGTTAAAAGAAGTGGGAGCGCACCCGGGTCCTTGCCCTCTGGTGAGCTATCCTTCTGGGATTTCCACGAGGGAGCCTGCAAATTTGTTCGGGTTATTCTGGTCTTTTGTTAATTCGCAGGCAGTAATTAAAACCACTGTAAACTGTCGGTAGCTAAGCGTAAATAGGCCTAATTTCTTCAGGCTATCATCAAACGCTTTGTTTCCGAGGCCAAACCTTCCTTTTGTTGCTCATCTTTTGACCCATTTCAAGAGGTTGGCGCCCCTTCTAGGCAGTGCGGGTGCAATAATATTATGCCCACCAAGGTGTGGTGTCAGCCAAGTCTCATAATCTGTCAATGTGCAGCTCTCACGTTGTCCGTTGAAGACTTTTAGAAACAATTTGTAATAACCAACGCGATAAACCAGAACACAGATTGGCGATTCGAGAATCCTTTATTCTTATGTCAACATATAACCAACAATAATGTTATTAGAGACTAAGGTTTAAACAAATGTCATAACAATAAACCACAATAATACTTCTGATAGTTTTCTGTCTTCCACTGAGGAGCGAACGATGAGACGATGACTGCACTATCGTTGACTCCTGCGAAAAATATGGAGGAGTTGAGTTTGAGCAAACAACCATGAATTGATCGTTTAATCTTCAACTCCATTGACCCACACCCTTTAAATTATATGCCTATTAGTCTTACCAGCACTCTAATCAAGACACTGGAAAGAGTCATCAGGAAAAGTATCATGGCATATCCGGAAAACAATTATTTGTTATCTAGAGGACAGAATGACTTCCGAGGGAACCTCTCATATCTGTCAAATATCCTCACTGTAAGAAAAAGTTGGGTCGAATCAAGAGGCAACAGAAGACCTGTTGACGTCGTCTTCATAGACTTCAACATGGCCTTCGATTAAGTCCCTCACAAGAAACCACTCATGGAGTTAGGAAGTTTCTGTATCAAAGGCAGAGTAGAAAATTTAATTAGGGAAATCCTAATGGGTAGGAGGCAGGGGGTTAGGATTAACTCGAAACTCTCCTCCAGGATAGCAGTGAGTAGCGGAACGACCTAAGGTGCTGTGCTCGGACTTCTCCTTTTTTATTTTGTATATCAATAAGTTATCTCTGCTCACCAATTCATCTATGGTCCTAAACGCAGACGACTAGAAAATTCGGAAAGTGTTGAAGGGGAACAGTGATACACTCACGTTGTAAGAGGACCTCAACAAAGTGTAAGAGTGGCCTAGGGAATGGATGCTCCCGATCAATGTAGTAAGATGTGTGTCAATAGAGTTGAAGATTGAACGATCAATTCTTGGTTGTTTGCTCAAAATCAACTTCCTCGATTTTCGCGGAGGCATCAATACGACAGTCATCGTCTCATCGGTCGCTGTTCAGAAAGAAGAGTTAAACATCGTTAGAAGTAACATAACGATTTATTATTGTAATATTTGTTTACAGACCTTAGTTTTCTTAGTTTGCTTAGTGATACTTGATTTATATGCTGGTGTAACAATACATAATACTCAAGTCAACAATTGGTGTTCTGGTTTTTCGTCCGTTATAACTAAGCGTTTCGAAAATCTTCAAGGAACAGCGTGGGCCCGAGCGTAGCGAGAGCTGGGCATTAACGGTTTATGAGACGGTAACTGACAGTTTCTAACGATGGAAACAGATCTGGCGGATTGAAACAGTTGGTGAAAGTTTGGATAGTCGCCGTTCATTTTTCCTGGTGCCGGTCAAGTCCTCTTTGAACAAGCAATATCTGGAACTTTTTTGGAATTGGGTCAAGTTCAACAATGCCTGGGTCAAAGAAGGGACAGAGTGTCTTGGATGCAAACAGGAAAGTAAGTCATGGTGACTTGTCTGTTAATTGTAACGATGTGTCTGATGTTAAGCATGACATGGTTGATGTTACTGTTTCGCCGTTCAGGGATAATAGGAACATCAAACTCCCTAAATTAGAACCACGATGTTTTGATGGAAACCCGGCTGATTATTTACAATTTGTAAAGGAGTTTGAGATCATGTTGAGTGGTTTTTTATTAAATGATGAATTGAAGTTAATGTATTTGATGAGATATTGCACTGGAGATGCTGCAAGAGCTATACAGTGTTGTAAGTTTATGAAGCCAAAGCAGGGCTACGATGAGGCTATGAGCATATTACGCCAAAGGTTTGGAAGACCCTCGATGATTGCAGGGAAATTATTCGAGGCTGTTGAGGGTAATGGTGGTCAATTACAGGATGACTCCCAGGCACTCACTGAGTTTTTAGATAATTTGCTAATTTACAAGAATGGAATGATTTCGATGAATCGAATGAGTGACCTCAACTCGAGTTTTATACTAGAAGTAATAGCAAGACGTCTACCTACCCGACTGCAAAGGAAGTGGGTGAAGATAAGCTCCCGTATGGAGGATGAGGGTATCGAGCCAAAGTTTGATGATATCCTGAAACTGGTAAATACTAGTGTCAATCAATCTATGAGCAAGTTCGCCAGTCTGTTAGATCTCACCCCTAGAATAGAGCAGTCTGAGGGGAAAACGTACTCATTGATGACGAATAAGCCTCAGAGAGGTGGATATCGAGAAGGCTCCATGATGTCTAGTAATGCATATAGATCTAGTGAGTGTAACAATTTTCGTAGTACATCCTCAACAGATAAGTTGCAAGATGCAAGACAAACACGGTTGTGTTGTACTCGTTTGCAAGAGGTGCATACAAAGTGAACTGTGAACCAGTGAGCAAGTTCAGTGATAAGCTAAATGTAAACTCCAGGTCTGACTCCAAATTGTGTGACGATAACGGTGTTGTGAAGAAGTCTGTAGTTGCAATTGGTAAGCCGTTGTTGAATAGAGTGTCACAGAATAGAGTTACTGCTTCAGAGTGGAGTTCTGACTCCACAAGTTTACAAAGTATATCTAGTCAGAGTGAAGATATAAAACCTTTAATGATTTTGAGGAGGAACGAAAATCGTCTACTTCTGTTATTAAGGAGCTTGAAAATGATGAACTTGACGGTAAATTGAATATTTGTGGTGATGATCATGATAGTGCAGATTTGTCTTTGGTTGATCATTATGAGATGCGGGATATGCCTACTACTGCTAAGTTAAATAAAGGTTCTGTACAACTACAACGTGAAGTAGAATTGAACGCAGATGCAGTTCCAGAAGGTGTGCATACTTGTGAGACAGTCAGTGTAATTGATCAGCATGTAGCCCACCTATCATCAGATGATAGTGCTAAACCTGAACTAGTAGTGAAAGACAGCAGTGGTGGTAATCTTGCAGTTGGACAACTATCTGAGAGCCGAACAAGAACAGCTTCTGATCCACCACTAAGTTCATCACCTTGTGTCACTCAGTCATCGTTGGTGTTTTCATCCACAATGAAACAGATGCCCATCAACTCAAGTATCTTCTGCAATGACTATGGTAGTATCAGTTCGTTTGAAAGGACGAATATCAATGGTCAGTTTAGTGTGGATAAGCCAAGTGTAAAGGAGAGAGTAATTGTTAAATTGACTTGCACAAATAAAGGCATTTCTAGTTTCAAGTTACTATTTGAATGTTATTATCTTTGGTGTAAATTACTCTGTTTCTATACTTGGTTGATGAGATATGTCGTGTGTTTGTTGGTCATCTATATTCTACGATACAATGACATGAGCGTGTTGCCGTTCAGATTTGAGGATATAGCTGATAGAAGGAAGTTAGCAAATGAACTCTGCGACGATTTTCCAACCTAGGGCGTCAACCTGAGAAGGGTTGTAGGCGTACTGCTGTAAGTCCTACAGTTCTTCAAAGGGTAGCGCATCAATGAGCAGTCCAATGTGCTTGGTGTATGATCTTGTACATATGTTCATATTGTATATACTGAATTGATATCATCTTTTATCTATCTGTTGGTAATTCTGTTTGTGTCCGGACGACTTCCACTTGGATCATCAACCTGAGAAGGAATGTAGGCGTACTGCTGTAAGTCCTACAGTTCTTCAAGGGTAGTTTGTCGTGTCAGAATCCACAACATTTGATGTGTTGATTGTACATATGTTTGTGTTAAATAGTTGTGTGAGTTCCAATTGATGTAATTGTTGGTTAATCTTGTTTGTGTCTGGACATTCCACAACTTACAATCGTCAACCTGTGAAGGGTTGTAGGCGTACTGGTGTAAGTCCTGCAATTCTTCAAAGGAATTCCACCAAGACATGATCGGCGAGGTTGTTTGTACTATTTGTATATACGTGTGGTGTGTCATAGCAATTGG